TTGATGACGCCATTGAGGGTCATTGGTGGAAGAGCGTTGGGAGGTGCTCCCAGCTTACCCAGCGACCTGTGGGGCCTGATCCACCAATGATGTCTATGACGTCGTCGAGACAGCTCCACCTTCCAGCCATCGTGCTCACTGCTGTCAAGTTTAGCAGCCCTCAAGAGTGTGAAGATCTCTCACTGAATGACTTGAATCATCAAAGCGGTCAAATAATTGCGCATAGTCAAATAAAAAAGGGTAGGGCATAAAAATGCGTTAAAATATTGATTGAGGTATTGAAACGGTGAGGCGAAAATTTGAAACGAATGAGCGACGTGAGCGACAGCGGTGCTTCAGTGTTTGCCATCACTTGTTCGTACATTTATTGACCGAGTTCTCGCTCGTGGATATGGCTGGCAGTCGTTGAGCACACACACGCATGCAGAACGGGCGAAGGGTCACAGATGAACACGGGTGTTTGGCGGGCGGGTGGCATTTTTCAACTAAACACACTTCATGCTGGATTATTTTGCCTCGTTAAGCGGGCAGACTCCTACCAGGAGCAACCGACCTGCTGCGCAAAGATCAACGAGTGGGATCGTATTTGGCCATTGGAGGAGAGGCCGTAAGCTGAAGTAACCATTCACAAAATATGAAGGTACCAAGGCATGGCAAAATGACAAGAGGGCAAATTCTCAACTACCGCTGCCCTCTGAGCGAGAGAAAGTCGTGCGTATGGACATTCACTGCTCACCACCACTTTCCTTATCGATGACGGCCCAAACATCGATGATGTCCCGAAAATGTGTTCGAAGACATAATTATTCAATGGAGGGAGTTGCACTGATAGCATCTGAGGGGGTTAGGTGTAAAGTTGAATTGCGCACGTACGGTTGTTGGCTTATCCCCTCCTTCATATAGAGCAGTAGTTTGAGGTGTTTGTTGGTTTGTCCAACAGTCAATATCTCGCCAGGTAGATCCAAGAAAAAAGTTGATATAGGATTCCAGATAGGAACTGCCCTTAGGACGTGCACAGTTGATTGCAGGTTTGGCTTAACGTGGAGTACGCTGTTGGGGGAGGTAAGCAAACCAGCCCTTTTGGCGTTTCGGCTGGGACCGTATGCTGAATGTTGGGGAGGGGATGGGGTCCCCAACGGTCGACGGTTTACTTCAACTCGGTTGGTACGATAGGAGAGTACTGACGCAAGTGGTGCAGCTGGTCCAGCAGCTCCGCCAGAAGGGCTGGTTTGCTCACCCCAGGACTAAGCCTTGGAGAGGGGACGGACCCGTCCTCTCTTTAAGGCTTAGTTCTGAGGTAAGCACCAAATTGTGGCGGTTCTAAGGACCGAGTTGAAGTGGTCCGTCCACCGTCGGGGACTCCATCCCCTCCCCAACATTCAGCATACGGTCCCAGCCGAAGCGTGCCAAAAGGGCTGGTTTGCTTACGTCGTTGGTGGGTCGAGAGCGATGGTGGGGCTTGCGCCAAAATCTGTTCTGGACTTCTTTTTGCGCAAGGAGCCTGAAGTGATTGTTGGAATCATTGGTATAAAAAATCGTATCACTAAGTGCTAGCCCGGGCATTCAGCGACTCGCGTTTTTGTTCACAGCCTAAACACCCACATTATATTCCTCATCCCTCTCCCCCACGCATTTTACGGTTCGTTCTCTTACCGCGCCCTGAAACACTGCATCTTTTATGCGTGCACCCCCATAGTTCTTGGGATGGACCTTTCTAACCAGGAAAGTTTTCAGGGTGTGCCAAGCTTTTTCAAAACGGTCTTTTGCATGATATAGGGGCACATGCGGGAACCACAGAACCATGGTTCATTTTTCCTGAACGGCCCTCTGAATACCAGAAAAGGGGTCCCTAGTTCGATTCCTCGTGGTGACAAATTTTTGCATTTCGAGTTGACGTTCCAAAATTCGCGCAAAATGGAGTTAGCATGAATAATTAGTACCATATTCATGATTAGGACCGTCAGTAACCCTTACAAATAGACTTTGATTAAAAAACTGGTGAAAAGTTGTGACATCACAGTGGGGCTTTTGGTGTCACACCTTTTTCACCAGTTTTTAATCAAAGTCTATTTGTAAGGGTTACTGACG